CACTATTATAAGAACTCAAGAAAAGGTTTAAACACAGAAGAAAACATCCTTTGATGGTTAGGAGGGTGGGGAGGGAAGGTGAGGGTTACTTACTAACTAGACAGTAGATAAGAATTATCTTAGGTGAAGGGAAGGACAGCATACACTACAGGGGAAGTCAGCACAACTGGACTAAACCAAAGCTAAGAAGTTTCCTGAATACAATCAAACTCTTTGAGGGGCAGAGTAGCAGGGGTAGGGGCCTGGGGGACATGCTTTCAGGGGACATCTAGGCCAATTGGCATAACAAAGCTTATTAAGAAAATGTTCTGCTTTCTACTTTGGTGAATGGCATCTGTGGTCTTAAAGGCTAGCGAGTGGCCATCAAAGATGCATCAATTGGTCCCATCTCATCTGGAGTAAAGGAGAATGAAGAACACCAAAGTCACAAAGAAAGTATTAGTGCTAGAGAGAGAAGGGCCACATAAACCAGAGACTGCATCAGCCTGAGACCAGAAGAACTAGATGGTGTCCGGCTAAAACACCAATGACTGCCCTGACAGGGAACACAACAGAGAGTCCTGGATGGAGCAGGAGAAAGGTGGGGTGCAGAACTCAAATCTAGTAAGAAGAGCAGACTTAATGATCTGACTGAGACTGGAGGAACCCCGGAAAGCATGGCCCCTGGATTCTCTATCAGCCCAGAACTGAAACAATTTCCGAGGCCAACTTTTCAGACAGGGATTGGACTGGACTGTGGGACATAAAGTGTTACTTGTGAGGAGTGTGCCTCTTAGCTAAAGTCGATACAAGAAACTAAATGGGTGGCTTCTGTCCGGAGGTGAGATGGGAAGGCAAAGAGGGTTGGGAGCTGGTTGAATGGACATGGGGAATCGGGGGAGGAGTGTGCTGTCACAGTATGGGGAGAGCAATTAGAGTCATATAAGAATGTATGTATAAATTTTTGTATGGGAAAAAATTTTTTTAAAAAGAGAGAAAAAGAATTGTATGTGTCATGAAGACAGTAGTTATTTATGGGGCTGTCTCATGAAGACATTATATAAAAGGTAAGTAGAATTTGGACAGAGGAATAGGTGGAAGAGGGCATTGCAGATGAAGAGTAAATATGAGTAAATATCCTGAGTCAGGATTGAACCTTAGTGCACCAAGGGAATAGGTAAGTAATGAGTATGTCTCTGGAAATGGATTCTTAAGAATGAATAGTAGAAAATAAAGTCAGAGGTGATACAAGAGCAGTCTATGGAGCCCTGGAATACCAAGATAAGGGACGTGCATTGGTTTGGAGAGTAATGAGCCAAAACACAGCTCTTGAGTAAAGGAGTGCATAGGGCATATGGAGGAAGATAAGGATGGAGATGGAAGACCAATTGCAAAATTATCTTATGATTCTTATGTGAAACTAAATGCAGTGTTAGAGCTGTTTCAAAGGATGACACTATAGGATTTGGTCAGATTCATCATAGGGAGTGAAGGAGAGGAATAAGTTCCTAGTTGATCACATCACATTTTTGCCTCTCCTCCACAGATCCAAATCTGTCTTCAAATTTCAGTTTAATCCCCATTTCCTTCATTAAGTAATCAATATGAATCTTTTTTTTCTCCACCATAGTTTTCACATAAGCAAGATTAAATATACAGAGAGAGATATGTCAGGTGTATAAAAAACCAACAAGGTGATCCTTAAATTGACATTAGTTATGGTCATTTGATTTAATCTCAGAATCTCAAAAGGCATCCATCTCTAACTGATGCTGTTTGGTTTACCTGTGCTTTGGGAGCCATGTCTCTCAGATTAGGAGTCTGCAGAAATACCCCAATGCCAAGAAAATCCCTTTAGAATCAATGGAAAACTTTAGCTTTGCCCTGAAACTGATAACATAATGATTGTCACTAACCTATTGGTAGAGAGAGTATCCCAGATGTTCATAATTTATTCCCAAATGTTTTAAAGACCAAGGTTTTTATTCTGAACTTCCCTAAAAACAACATCAGGTGGCCAATCAGCTCCTATAAAATAAATCTCTGTCAGTGAACTCAAAATATGAGAACTGATCTCTAATTTCTTTGTATTAAAGTTTTGCTACACAGATGTATAAACCATTTTTCATTGTTTTTATGTTTTATCCACTTGACTTTTCTCTAAATGAATACGTTATGGAAAGTCATAACGAGACACAATACTCTGGATAATTATGACCTATTCAGAGTCCAAAACTACCATTGTTTTATCAGCAAATATACAGGTAAGGCTATAAATAACTCGGTAAAACAATTCTGGAAAGTACAATAAAATTTATTTCTACGTTAGTTTAATAATTTATATTTTGCACTGGGGAAGAGAAAGTGAGTTTTCACACAATATTTTTTTATATAATACCTTCTATATTAAATGTTGATTACTGGAAACTAAATCCATTTGTCCAAAGTCCACACAGTATGTATTTTTAGTTGATTTACCATTGGCGTTGCTAAAATAATGATGTAAAGCAGTCTTTTGATATTTTTGCCATCTTTTCAAAATACTCTAATTCTGAAGGAGTTTTAGTGTTAGGGACCTAAAATATAAAGGGTAAACTTATTTTATTAATTTTATCACAAGCTTCCAGTGACAAAACTCCAGGAAACCTAACTATATTATATGAGGGAAAAGAAAAAAACAAAAACAATATATGGAATGCAGTGTAAATAATGGTAAGAAACAAAGAAATTTTCAAAACAAAGTACTTTGAATAATCATTATAGACTCTTCTTCAAAGTTTCTATCTGAAATATGCTGAGTTCAAAGACTTTAAGCAATTTTAAAAGTAGTACTGGAAGAAAAGAAAGATGCTTCTATCATTCTTTAAAATCCATGATTCTTCTGCACCTGGAATATTGTAATATTATGATTGCTAAGCTACAATAAACATGAAAAAAATGGGTGATCATTGAACTCCAATTAATACACAGTGGATTAGAAGTCTATAATGAGTATGTAAACTTCAGTAATCAAACAAATAGAGAACCTCCAAGGGATTCACCCAAAATAAGGACATTAGCGTCCATAGATGTTTAAAAGGGCACCAGAAAGATATTTATCATGAAGAGTGTGAACATGGGTAAAGAAGACTTGATCACCAAACCTCATACATTAAACATGCATGGAGAGATACTTAAAATTAGAGAGGCAGTATTAGTATAAATGGATGATTAAGAGTAATAACTTTTGGGGTGATTTGTAATACCAAGATAGGAGTAGGATCCAGAGTGTGTTGAGATAAATATAAAAATTATATCCAAATTAACTTATTAAGAAAATCCAAGATGTTCTATATTCTTACCCTGTCTTGAAGGATGAATAAATCTTTCTTTTACATATCTCTTGGTGACCTTATCTGTGAAACGGTACTAAGATAGAGAAACCATTTATCAAATTGTGATACGTGGAGTTCTCAAATCATAACATGTAAAATGTTTAAAGAACAATTATTTCCAAACGTTGATCCCACTAGGATCGTGCTTAAAACTTGCTTTTCCCTTGAGGAAAAAAATACCATAAGAAAATTGTCTTTACTTTTGGAAATGCCAAATTATTTATACTGACCATGAATTTGTATACTAACATTGGATAATTCATGAGGAAAAAGCGTTCCACCTAGAGCATTCCAGGCAATCCCTGCGTACACATTCTGTAATAGTCTTCTTCTTACATGACATGACCTGTTGCGTATGTGCTAGCTTTCAGGACACAGCACAGGATGGTTAAAGAGGAGGTTCTTTCTTTTCGTGCCCAGGGAAATTATATGGGAAAGTAGGCATTCTAATTTAGAATCTCATTTCTCCACAGTTTCTGTCTCAACAGAGAAGTCAGGAATGGCTAAAGAGAATCACTCCTTGACAACTGAGTTTATCCTCATAGGATTTCCAGATCACCCAGATCTGAATATCCTTCTGTTTGTGGTATTCTTTGCTATCAATCTGATCACCATGGTGGGAAATCTTGGTTTGGTGGTGTTGATTTTCATGGAGCACCGTCTCCACACACCCATGTACATCTTTCTGGGCAACCTGGCTCTGATGGATTCCTGCTGTTCCTGTGCCATTACCCCCAAAATGTTAGAGAACTTTTTTTCTAAGGACAGAATGATTTCCCTCTATGAATATATGGCACGATTTTATTTTCTCTGCCTTGCTGAAATTGCGGACTGCTTTCTCCTGGTAGCAATGGCCTATGATCGCTATGTGGCAATATGTAGTCCACTGCAATACCACATCATGATGTCGAAACAACTCTGCATTCAGATGACCATAGGGACATTCATAGCTAGTAACCTGCATTCCATGATTCATGTTGTGCTTCTACTAAGGTTAACTTTCTGCATATCTAATCAAATTGGTCACTTTTTTTTGTGATATTTTGCCATTGTACAGACTATCCTGTACTGACCCTTTTATTAATGAACTAATGGTATATATTTTTTCAATGCCTATTCAAGTCTTCACCATTGCCACTGTCTTGATATCTTATTTCTGCATCCTTTTCACAATTTTCAGAATGAAATCCAAAGAAGGGAGAGGTAAAGCCTTTTCTACCTGTGCATCTCACTTTCTCTCTGTCTCCATATTCTACATTTGTCTTCTCATGTGTATTTGACCAATTGAAGAAGGGGATAAAGATATACCAGTCGTAATTTTTTATACAATAGTGATTCCTTTATTAAACCCTTTTATTTATAGTCTGAGAAATAAGGAAGTGATAAGTGTTTTGAAAAAAATCATGAGGAACTATAATATTCTTAAACAGACTTTATCCGCTACAGCAAATTGGTGCTGATTTAGTAAAATGCTTCCATAGGAAAAGAAAAATATGTTTTATATAAAATATTAATCTCTATATCATTAGCTGTGTTTGTTAAAACATGTATGACTACAATTTCAAAATATTCTGCCAAACCTTAATCCAATATTTTATGTGTTTATCGGCCATTTTCATTTCTTCTATGGATTGTCTGTTCAGTTTTCCTTGATTATATTGGTTATTTTCCCCCTCATTTATTTGTACCATTGTGGATAGAGAAGATATTAAAATGTTATGGCTATTTGTGGCAAATAGTTTCCCAGTGTGTTGGCAGTCTTTTAATATTTGTTTGTGATATTTACATTTCATAAACATTTTAATGTGATATAATCACACTTACTGATTTTTTTCTTGTATGGCTTATTTTATGTTTATTTGTTTAGAATTTCTTTCCTTAATCTGAGGTCTGATATTAACCAACACTTCTTTTTCTCTTTTTCTTCTTCATCTTCTCCTCTTTCTCTCCTGTTTTGATAGTTTAAATTTACTTTTAACTCTTAATACTTCTTGAAACTTATTTAGTATATGGCATGAGGTGAGGATGTACTTTTTTTTTTTTTTTTGCCTGTGTCTTTCAAAATATTCCACAGATAAGTTTAGTTTGAATAAATATCAAAGGAGGACTTTTTGGGAACCAGAAAAAAATCAGAATTCTAGATTTTCTAGAAAAAAAAAACAATAAAACAAATAGAATTTGTGTATTAAATATTAAAATATATGATGAGGCTCTAATATTTAAAACAGTCAACTTTTTATCAAGATTCAATAGATGGATCAATGGAACAGATCAGACTATTCAAAAGTAAATTCCTGCAGAAAATAAGAAGCACACCATAAATCAATGAAGAAAGGATTGTTCAATGAATGATCCTATGTCAATGGGTTACTATTTATCTTTTCCATTTGTTTTAAAATTAGTATGCCCTCCTCATTCAGAGATTATTTGATAAACATAATTTATATTTCCTTTTTTATATAGCATGAATTTTTATACATACCATTTTAATTCAACTGGAATTCATTTTTAAATGTTGTGAAGTAAGAATTAAAATTTGATTTATAATGGATAAAAAGTAGTTGCAGAAGCATTTGTTAACTAGTTCTTCCCAACCAATTTCACATGCCTTCTTTTTATACATGTGCACTCATATGTACATGCACATAAACCATAAACCAAACTCAATTCCAACTCATAATGACCCTATAGGATAGGGTAGAACTGCCCCATAGAGTTTCCAAGGAGCAGGTGGTGGATTCGAAGTGCTGACCTTTTGGTTAGCAGAAGAACACTTAACCGCTGCACCACCAGGCTCCATACAAACACATATGAGGTCTATTTCTAGCCTAGCTGACCTGCACAACATAAAATATGACAGACTCAATTTCTACCCTTATATTCTGTTAGGGAGGCACTGAAAGCACTCACTCAATTATGCCAAGAAATTTGGAAGACAGCTACCTGGCCAACTGACTAGAAGAGATCCATATTTGTGCCCTTTCCAAAGAAAGGTGATCCTAAGAATTCAGATATTATAGAAAAATATCATTAATATCACATGTGAGTAAAGTTTTCCTGAAGATAATTAAAAAAATATTGCAGCAATAAATTCACAGGGAACTGCCAGAAATTCTAGCCAGATTCAGAAGAGGATGTAGAATGAGGGATATCATTGTTAATGTCAGATGGATCATGGCTGAAAACAGAGAATACCAGAAATATTTTACCTGTGTTTTCTTGACTATGCAAAGGCATTCAACTGTGTGGATCATAAAAAAATTATGGATAATATTTCACAGAACAGGAATTCCGGAACACTTAATTGTGCTCATGAGGAACCTATACATAGACCAAGAGGCAGTCTTTTGAACAGAACAAAGGGATAGTCTGTGATTTAATATCAGGAAAGGTGTGCGTCAGGGTTGTATCCTTTCACCACACTAATTCAATCTGTATGCTTTGCAAATAATCCTAGAGGCTGGACTATATGAATAAGAATGAGACATCTGGATTGGAGAACGACTCATGAACAACCTGTGATATGCAGATGACACAACCTTGCTTGCTGATAGAGAAGAGGACTTGAAGCACTTAGTGATGAAGATCAAAGACCACCGCCTTCAGTATGGATTACACAACAACGTAAAGAATCAAAATTCCTCACAATTGGTCCAATAAGCAATATCATGATAAACAGAGAAAATATTGACGTTGTCATGGATTTCATTTTACTTGGATCCACAATCAACATCCAAGAAATCAAATGACGTATTGCATTAGTCAAATCTTCTGCAAAAGATCTCTCTAAAGTCTTAAAAAGCGAAGAGGTCACCTTGAGGACTCAGGTGCACCTCATTCTCATCCAAGTCATGGTATTTTCAGTCTCCTCATATGCATGCAAAATATGGAAAATGAAAAAAGGAAGACCAAAGAATAATTGATTTCTTTGAATTATGGTGTTGGAGAAGAATATTGAATATGCTATGGACTGCCAGAAGAATGAACAAATCTGTCTTGGAAGAAGTACAGCCATAATGCTCCCTAGAGGCAAAGATGACGAGACTTCAGCTTACATATTTTGGACACATTATCAGGAGGGACTAGTCCCTTCAGAAGGACATCTGCTTGGTGAAGTAGAGGGTCAGCGAAAAAGAAGAAGACTTTCAAGGAGATGGACTGACACAGTGCAATGACAATGGATTCAAACATAACAACAGTATTGTGAGGTTGGCGCTGGACAAGGTAGTGTTCCGTTGTGTTATGCATGGAGTTGCTATGAGTCGAAACTGACTTGACAGCACCTAACAGCAACAAATATTGTCATCAATATGAAGATAACCCAGAATGTATATTTCCAGTTCTGACATTTCCCTTAATCCCCAGACTCGTGTATTGCCTCTTTGACATCTTCACTTGATGTCTCAAATACATCTCAAATTTAACATGTTCAAACTGCAACTCTTGAATTTTCCTATCACCATGGTCTTTTCCAGTCTTCTTCAACTTGATGGTAGCATTATTCAACCAGTTGGTCAAGACAGAAATTAAGAGTAATCCTCCCTCTACCTCTCCCATCACATCCAAATTTTCACAAAACCTGTAAACTCTATCTCTGAAATACAGGTAGTCCCCACTTACAACACATTGGAGTTATGAGGAACCATGCTTACAACATCTGTTTTTTGTTTTTTTGGTTTGCTTGTTTGTTTTTGGTACATCTTATTGTTAGTAATATATACTACATACAATGTTGCAGTGCGCAATTTGCTGATGTTATCATTCTCATGTCAACCCTGAGAGACAGATAAAGATTGGATTTATAAAGACACTGATAATAAAAAGCAACAGTAATGACTTATGAAGGAGTCATTGGAACACAACTTCATCATAAGTAGGGGAATATCTATATCTTAAATGTGCCCACTTCTCTCCATTACAACTTCCTGCATGCAATTCCATGTTGCCATCATCTTTTACCTGAACAATACTAATAGCTGCTAACTGGTCTCCCTGCTTTCACTCCTTACATTTCTTTTAAATATCTTATCACAAACCAATTTTTAAGATAGTACTAAAAATGTATTTCAAAAACTGTTGTGTTCTACCCACTCTAACCTAAGCATTCCAGTTACAACCACTTGCTAATTATGTAGCTATTTCTCTGTCAATTTACCATCATATTTCTTATTGTCAATTGTAGACATGTTAACTAACTTCCTGGTTTAACCCATTGCCATCGAGTTGATTCCAACTTGTAGTGACCCTATAGAACTGCCCCACAGAGTTTCCAAGGCTGTAATCTTTACAGAAGCAGACTGTCACATCTTTCTCCCTCAGAGAGGCTGATGGTTTCCAACTGCCTGACCTTTTGGTTAGCAGCTGAAGGTTTAACCACTGCACCACCAAGACTCTTTTCCTTCTTGTCATAGTAAATAAAAGTTCATTCGTTTGTTTAAAACTTCCCATTTCCCTCTTCCCTGATGGTATAACACTATTTTCAGTAATTTTTGAAAATCAATTTCTATTAGGGGCTTGCAAATACTTTCTACTGCTAAGACAACTTGTGTATCATGCTTATATTTCCTTTTCTGTATGATTTTGTGATTTTTTTTAATAATACAAATTTCATTTTCCCTTTTGCTCATTTAGATTCACACATGTGCCTATCAGATATATTCTTCAAAAATTCAATTATATTAAATAATCTTTTGTTCTTTCATTACCTTGGAGACTTCTGTCCTGGCGCTTTCAGTCCTCCTGCTCCAGTCTAAAGAGATTATTCTCTAGACCCAGTGCACAGCTGTCATGCTGAGACTTCCCTTTCCTGATTTCCTGTGTTCAATACTCTGTTTCCAAGATCTCTATCTTCCTCTTCATTGTTCATTCTCTATTTTGCTAAGAAATATTATCATCCTCTTTGACAGTCAAGATTTGAAGTCTAGACAGGTTATATCTTTGTTCTTTCCTCACACATGATTAATAGTTTGGTTTCTAAAAAATTTTAAATTTGAAATAATTCTGAACTTTGAAGGCGTTTTTCCTTTACATACTAGCATGCTGTGTTGCTTTTGAGAAATTGCATGTCATTCTGATTCTCATTCCTTTGTTGTCCGTCTCAAAGCATTTAGGAGTTTTTCATTATCCCTGGCTTTATGAAATCTCAGAATGAATATCTTTGTACGTTTTTGTTTTTCAGTCCTTTTTATTTCCTCTGTCTTTTGTTGGCTCCCTCCCTCCTTCCATCCCTTTTTTGCTCTCTTTTTTCATTTTTTCCTTTCTTCTTCCCTTCTTTCTTTCCTTCCTTTCTCTCATGTTTAAAGACCCAAAGCCTGACTTCTTCAATGAAGACAAACCTGATAGTACAAAATGAATCTAATTCATACAGGAAAAGCAGATTAAATAAACTTAATTACCAGTTTTAAGAATAATAAGGTGTTTTCTTATATCCAATGAGGATTACCAATAATTTTAAAATTAT